TCCCAGCCAAGGAGACTAGCCACACCCTTAGCTACCACTAATCTGACTTTTGCACACAGAAACCACCATCAGTGTGTGTATCAGCCTTCCTTTTTAGGCTTTAATGGGTGGATGATTACATATAAATATTTTCTTGTAAATGTCCTCACAGATGACCAACAATGATACCCATCAGTCTCAAATGTAATGACCCCGAATATTTAAACTCCTCCGTCTCTCCTCTGAATATTTCTAGCATTTTTGCAGTCATCTCTAGGTCCCTGAGAAATCTCAAGTGCTTTCTTAGAAGTCAGGGAAGTGAACTCTCCCAACAGAAGGCACCATCATTGAACCTTTAGAGCAGCCTGTCTTAGAGTATGTCATCAAACACAACGAAACAGAAAAGTCACAGTGCTCCAGCAACTGGTGAAACTCTGCCACAATATATGCGTCAAACCGCCCTTACTTACTGGAATGGCTGTGAACTTTGAAACTGGGGACTACGAAGGAGGGCTGCAAATCACAGTGGTTCTAACACTCATGTGGAACACACCAGAAACACCTTGTAGAATAGAGCTTCCCCCTTCATTATCCCATTAGCAATGTCGCAATCTACTGTTTTATTCTGTCCAAGCTTTAGTTCTCTCCACAAATTAACTGACACTGCCAAACAGGACCATATTGCCATGTGGCCTAGCTTGAAAACAACGAGGGAGTCCCGCACACTGCTTACTACTGAAAAAAGATTTATTTATTTATTAAACAATGTTTCGGTCTATACAACTTTTCATCAGGTACATGTGCAGCATGACAACCTTTCATTTATGTGTGTGTGTACACACACACACACACACACACACACACACACACACACAAACACAGGAGCTGCCTCAATCATTAAATCATCCAATCAGTGGACTATGATTAGTTAGACAGGTGATCACCTTGAACACATCCTCACTCATCCCCTTGAACCATCTGCCTAACCAACTAACACACTATCAGCCCCACCAAACTACTTTTCTGTGCTTTTCTGAACCAGCTTTACTGAACATAAGTAGCCCAATACTGTACGGAATGCAATTTGTTTGAGAGGCTACATATGTTTGTTGACAATCATGTACCTTTTGGTTTTATCCAGAATATGTTTCTCTAAAAAGCATTTTCCTATTTGCTACAAGAGACATTGGTGAGTGAGAAAGTGTAAGGAGGAGAATCTGGAATTGAAATCCTTATATCACTAGGATTTCATTTTAAACGGGAGAAGATAAAACTCATCAAAACTGAGGTAGAAAGCATGTACATACTGGTGATAGGCACTGCTAAAATGTCACTTGCTGAGATGACATTATCAACAAGGCTTTTTGAAAGGTGATTTGAGGCTAATTTTATATGTAAATGGAATTCCACCCTAAAAAGTTACCTAAATACATTCTCAAAGTGAAATTTGAATACAGATACCTCATTTTGATGACAGAGTGTAATACAAACATGTGTCCTTTCTAAAAATAAAAAACATTGGTGCTATCCTCAAAAAAATTATACTTTCTTAGCCGGGTCTGCAATGCTCTGGTAACCTTGCTGAATCTAAATCTATGTAATGCATCATTCAGGTTATATGGAGATTGTGGTCTATGACTCAGCTCTATGACCATGGGTAATTTGTTAGGAAGTTACATCCAAGGGCTGTAATCCAAGCAAACAGATAATGAAAAAGAAGAGATACATACACCATTTGCAACTGATGCATTAGTCAGGAAAAAGTGTTTATGCAAAATGAAAAATATATATATAATAACAACTATGATTGCAGGAAAATTACAATTCTGTTCCCTTGCAAAATCCTGAATGATGGCATTTCTGTCATTTGGGTCTGTGTACCATTTCTTGAATTCCAGTTTGGCTCACAGATCAATGGGGAGAAGAGGGCAGGGTCTGAATAGAGTGACTGCAGAGTGGGCTTTTCATCTGGATATACTGGTGGCAGGGCCACAACACGTCAGTAAAATCCTATGGCAACCTCTTTCTGACCATTCAAACCATAGTCTTTTTCCATCGACGTATACCTTTGAGCTAGTTTTTGTTTCAAAAATGGGTGTTGGCCCGGCTGTTAGGAGCCACAGTCAGTGTCCAGCATTGAACCAAATTAAAACCCTCTTTGTTGAATCTTGAGAGCTTAAGGTCGTCAGCAGTTGTGTCACGCCAGAAGTAGCTGACTGATGTTGGAAATATCAAGACATGATGGACTGCAGCTCCCTGGCCTGAGGGTAAAACACAGCTACTCTCTGCCTGGGATACTCACTCTTTAAAACTTGCTGTACCCACTCCAGTGCATTCACAGTCTGCTAGAAAATAGTGGGCTATAAGAAATGAATATCTAACAAAAAAGTAGAATTGTTTGTTGTAATCTTCATGTCAAAGTAGCAAATAAAGAAGAATGCCACAAAAAAATTATTTAATCTAGAACCAGAAATCCAAACAATTCCTCATTAATTTCCTCATGTTTACTTAGAATTCCCAGCCACGTAAAGTGATACGAAGCCCATTTGTCTACAGAGAAATGTATGGTGTATGTGGGTCTTTAGCCCAATTTTATGCTCATAATTAATGCATAGTTTGATAATTCATTGTGGACAAGATGTGTGTTTTGAATTACCGCAGTGTGTTTAAAATTGTTATGTGTGATTTCATAGCAAGGTGAAGTGTTTTTTTTTTAGTCAAATATGTACAGTATCAACAAAAATGTGCCAAATAATTTCAGCAGTTCTTGGTCACATTTTCTTTTTGTCTTCTTCGACTTGTAGAACTGATGAGTGACAACACTGTTGCTGGTGAGGAAGACAATAATGATGAGTTCAACCCGGAGAAACTATTTAAAGTCGTTTAGATTAGTTAACATCGCTGCCAACTGTCATGAAAGGCACTACTTGAAATGCCAGACAGTAACCCTAACAGTTGTCATTTGGCAGCACCAACTACCTGCTATCAGTGGGGCTGAGTAAGGTGTGAATATGTTATAGAAACACTGACTTTGAAACTGTGTTTGTTTGCACTGGAGTGATATTTAATATTTAAAAAAGACTGGTCTTTGCAAGCTGATAATCCCCCAACAGAAATCGGCTGAAAATTACAACTCTTAAATGTGAAATGTTGACCATTATAAAGTTGATTCAACTGAGAAAAACAAAGTGAATGAGACGTTTCTTTGCTGCCCTGCTCTCGTTTTACTTCCACTGAATCTATGAAACAACTCTGGAATGGAAGCGCTCCAAAACGCAGAACGAAGACGTAACTTCAACTATAACATTTCTTTACAATGGCTAACATCAATGGATTCTGGCACATAAGCCTTCATCAGAACATCTGTTTTTGGCAGAGAACCCAACCAGAGGAAGGTTACATGAGGAGGTGCACCTGCTATACGTTTTTCACTGCTTGCTCTTATTGTCATCAAGAGTGGTGTAGTCACAGGACTGCCAAGCTGCTGCCTGCAGCCTACTTAAAAATCATACTGTGAATATTATATACTTAACAGATATAAATTAGATTGTATCTGTTAAATATAATAATCAGCCAAATTATGTTTACAAAATGTAAATCTGTGTACTTAAATTCAATTGAAACACTCAATATTCTAAACATACAATGTTATTTAGCATTACAGAGAAAAAAGCTAACTAACTGCCAGAGTGAATTAGGATATGTGAAGTTCTTGAGGCAATGAACATCATCATGTATCATGTAATCATTACATGACTTTGTTTAATGTAGTCTAGCTCTTTTACGCATAACCATGGCCACATAGCATATTCAGATATTCTGTAGATGAGTCATGCCACATTGTCTCTACCTCATTGATTAAAGTTTTTTTTTTTTTTTTAACTAGTTGAATGTCATGTCTATCATTTCTGACTTTGCTTAAATTGTTCACATATTCAAATCAAGACTAACAGAAACATTTTCATATTTTTAAATATGGTAAGATTGTTGGCCATGTAACACTGGAGCTGGAGCACATTTAAGTAACAACAGACATACTATTGTGTTACTTGCTCTCATTAAATTAACATCACACTCCATTAACATGCCCTGGAAGTAAAAAAGCCTCTTTTGTTCTGTGACTGTAGTATGCGGCCATAAGCTTTTCTGAATACAGAGTTTTGGAAAACATGTGTACAGCCGGAAAAAATAAAGCTGGTGCTTTTGTGAAAAGGTACAATCATTTATTACATTGAATTAGAGCCATCACTACAGCTGTCAGTCAGTGGTGAGTTATGACGTCATCAGTGAGTGGCCTTGCGCACACCCCCGCCCCAGATGGTAAACACACAACGATGAAACAGGAAACCTCCTCTTTCAATCCATCTTATATATTGTATAAACAGGGGCCGTATTTCATTTGAAAAAACTATTTTTCTCCAAACCTTTTATTTTACATTAAAGTAGCCCAGTCACCAGTGATAGGCCAGCATGCTGTTCAAAAACTATTTTTATGTGGCTGTGGTTAAATAGTGTCAGTTAAACAATCAACCCAAATGACATACACTAATGACTCGTCCCCCACGCCTTCTATTTTCAGCAATTATCAAAATAACCATTATTCTAAAGAGCGGATATAAAAGATGCACAATTTCCAATAAAAGTTAATGGGGCAGGAGGGTGTTCCCTGATCTGCAAATCAAATGCTGAGGAACGCTGCTAATACAAGGAGGCCATAAAATGACTCTAATCAGAAAAGTATTAAAAATCAATACATTCAACATCCCTGATTTTAAAAATCATATTGTTTGTTTTTTCAATGTGTGCCCTACTTCTCAAGGAGCAGCCATCTTCGATATGTGAATAGATGCATAGTAATGACATGGTAGCAGTCACTTCAAAGCAATTCCCTATATTTTGCCACGGGCCAACAGATTCCAGAGGAATGACTCGTAAATATCATTGTGTGCACACCTTGACTTGTAAATACCCTCGACAACACCGCCCGAGATCCCCAAAACAGAGGTAGCCACAACACGTACCTCCAAAATCAGGCCTTAAACGGATGTCATATCCCTTCAGCAACTTGTCCACGGTAGTCTTGGCCACAGACATTCCGGTGCTTCCAGTGGAGGAGCTAAGGGCAGAAACCACAAGTGTTAGAGCCATTTTAAGTTGTGGGTCGGCGGGGGGAATCAGCAAAAACACATTTTTGTCATACACTTTTATTTTTACTGTACGTTGAATATTATAATTGCACATACTCTGCGTTCTCAACATTAATGACATGGATGCCACCTTTGAATAGGAAGCCTGTGGAGGCTTTGACAGAGAGAAGGAGGACTCATAAAACACCCAACCCATGAATTCATCCATATATCCCCATGTCTTGTTCTTACTTTTCTTCTAAAATAAGCATTCATTTGTCATATTTCATTCTCAACCTTTGTCAGCTTCAGTTTTAATCTTGTGTTCTTGTCTGTCACCACCTAACAGTAAGAATAAAATTAAAATAAAAACTATGTGAAAACATTCACGCTACAAAGGATTACAGCTAATATATGTAATTTTTTGTGTGTTACAGTCAGTTGTCAGACAAATTGTGGGCCTACTGACATCCTACATAATACTAAAAGCATATTGACTCTTATGTTGTCATGGTGAAGGTTCAAAAATGTATGCATTTTCCCCCTGGTAGCCCCACCTAAAGTACATTCAACTAATCAGTTAAGGGCATGTGATGATGATATACCTGTCAGGCATTTTATTGACATTTCTTTTGCTATTTTAGAAGCCCAATCTTATTCCTGGGCATGTATTTAAATAAGCTCGGTGTTAAAACACAGCCTCCCAGCATGCTCCGAGAGGCAGACTATCCCCAGGAGGAACAGTATAGTCCGCTCTAGTCTGACTGACACCTATAGCATTGGTGCCATGACCTGCATCACCTGACAGAGGCCAGCGCTCCAGCTGTGGTTCCTTGTTACGGGGAGGGTGTGGAATGAGTGCAGAGCGGGGAATAGGAGGGGAGGAAGTGGGTTAAAATTGCTCCCCTGATAGGAGCACTAGCCCTTTGGCTCAGTCGGGGAAAGCACTGTTCAATTAGCTCATAGGCTGTGCAGCTGTTCATCAAGCTGGCCGGGTACAGGACTTGTGGGTTTGACACCTGAGAGCCTCACTATGAGGGAATATCAGTGACACCTCAAACGCATACAAGATTGTTTCACTTGTTATTCAGGGTTATTCTAATGGGATCAAACTGTCAAAAAAAAAGTGTGACCCAGTTCTCAGTGAGCAACACCTAAATCTCATAAGTGAGGCTGTAGGTTACTGCAGACAAGGAAAAGGTGTAGGCTGGGGGGGATGTGTATCAGTGCCACTAACGGCAGAACAATAAAGGAATTGATCAGGAGAGTGTGATGATGTCCATGAAGGCTTGTGCAGTAATTCATACTGTAAACATTAGCAGGACTAGACAAGAGTATTGAAACGTTAAATCTTATTCCTTCCTGTTCCTGAGAGCATCAGCAGCAGATGACGACCTGCTGGGATTATTCCTGGATCTTGATTGATTTGGTTCCGGTCAATAAAATGGGCAATTAAGATGATTATATGAATAGGAATATTACTTCTGCGCTTAAAGTATAGAATAAGTAGGCTTGCAGGCCGAGTGGCAACAGCACTGTAGACTCATACATCTGGCTGATCACCATGGCGTAATCAATCGATCGTCGGCTGATTGATCCGATCTTCTAATCATCGGCTGAGCCTGCTGTAGCCTACCGAGGGCTGCCATTGTTAGGTGGGATCACGCTGAAAGTCGGTCCATACAATGTATATCCCCGTTTTCATATCGGGAGTAGCTTTCACAATAGGCTTGATATAGTGCACGCGCATGTTTTTACGCTCGCGCGCCACAGCGCCGTCTATTAGAGTATATATCGGCAGCAATGCCCCTAATAAGTAGGCCTGGGTACCCCGGTAATGCCGTTGCCACATCTCAGTTTTTTTCATTGACCGATAATCACATCTATTGGTGTGAAAGTTTTTTTTAATTTTTTTTAATTTTTTTAATTTTATTTTCAAGCAACGTTTTCTTACCTTTGAACAAAGCAGAAGAAGGACAAAGCCGCCAGAGCAGAGAAAATTCCACATAATTTATCTTCTTGACGACCCAACATCTCCACAAATCCTTATATATAGTTTCTATAATCCAACCAGTCCAGTGGTCCTCCAGAAAATGCACAAAGTAAAAACTGGCAATTAAAAAAATAATTGCCTCTTAAAAATGTCGAATAAACTAGCCTACATCTACGCATGCGATGTCTTGATTAAAATAGGCTTCTCGATTTTTAAAAAAAATCTCGTAATTGGCCCCCGCTGTTTTCCCCGGCTATGGAAATCCGTGCAGGTCACAGAGTCCCTCGACCAACACCAGAAGATCAGACATCTTGCTCAAAAAACGGCATACACAATACTTTTAAAAGTGATGACAAGTATTCTTCCCCTTAAAAAAACAAACACTGGCATGAATGACTGAGCAGCAGCCTCTTGATGATCAAATTGGTGGATGAAATTTCCCAGTCCAAATCTGCAGAAGAGGCATGGTTCCAGCGATGCTCCGGCGCCAGACTATTCCACAACGTGATGTTGTTAAAAGATATTTGTTTGAGCTGGGAACGCTGGTCGGCTGGAGGGGAGCGGTGGGTTTAAAAAAAAGAAAAATGAAATCTTCATTCCCCTTTTTTCCCCCGTTGCTGCTGCTGATGATGATGTAGATCAGCGCAAAGTCACTGAGGGGAAAATGCACATTGAAAAAGCACTGGGTAATATCTGATGCAGACGTCAGAGCAGGCTATATCACTCCTCTGGTGAAAAAATTAGATGCCGAGAAATATGGATGGCCCCTAATACGCCAATGCATGTATCACAACGCCGGGTTTCATATCAAAGATGCAAAAGCTATTTGAAAAGTCCACTTGCCTCCGCTGTCCAACGTTAAATGGCGTTTGAACACGTTAATGTGGTCCGCTCCTCTCCTCCAAACGCTCAACAAATGACAGAGAATCAACAGTCCAGAGACACATGATTATAGGAAATCTTCTCTTTTTTCCTTTCGATTCTTTTTTTTTTAAGTTCTTAGTTGAAATTAAAATAATGCCCTATTGGTGGGGTGGGGGGTGGGGGGGAGAAAAAGGGGAAGGGGGAGGGGGGACACCTAAGGTGAATTCCTTAGCGACAGCCCGTTCATGCGCTGAATTGTCTGTCTATTCTCTCTGAAACCCATTAGGATGCTGTGAGTGTGTGCCGGTGCGTTTCCATGCAATTCTTCCACTTTTTGGAAACTCACACACACACGCGCGCGCAGACACGCGCAGACACGCACCCACACACAGTCATACATACAAGCACATGTGCGCGCACACACAACGTGAACACGCACAATCCTATTTATTTATTTATTTTTATTCACTTTCTTATCAGGAATTAGGAGTCGCTCTTTTGTGTGTTTGAAACATAAACATCCTTACTGGAAATTGCCAACGCGCACATCACAATTCAAGAATCACACAAGCTTGTGTTTTATACAGAGGAGGAGGTTTTCTTCAGGGATCTCTGTGCTGTCCAGTTGCTAAGCAACCCAGCCAGCACTGATGCAGTTGTGGTGATTCGAAGGCTATGCGCAAAGGCTCATTTAAAGGAGTAGACCCAATGCTGTCACCACTGTAGTGTGAGTGGGACAAAAGCAGACATCAACTGATGTACCATGGAGCCATTTCTGTTACAACGCCATTTACAATAATACATGTAACAGCAATGTGGCACGTCACTTTTGCTTCATCATCATTGTCCTCATCATCACCCTCATCCTCATCACCATCATTGCCGGGGTCACAAGCACTAAATAACAGAGTCAATCCGTCTATAGCCTCAGATTTTATTCCCAGTTTGAAACATGTTAGCAGGCATGTGTTGCTGTTGAGTATCCTCTGCTGACCTCAGTACCCAGAAACGTTCAGTTTGTTCCTCCTATAGCTGATGTGACAGCAGTCAACAGAAACAATATGAATTGGCATGTAAGGAAAAATTACAATTAAAATTTTTCCGGTGATGTTTTCTGGTTTGGACAACAATGGCCCCCTGACTTGAATGTCAAGATAAAACCAAAAAAAAGTAGATTAATTATACATTTGTATTTGAGCTTTTCTGCACTGCAGCTTTGAGAGAGACATGGCCTATTAACTGGACTGTCTTCAACCCCCCTAATCATGAGACTGACATAAAGTGGAAATTTCAAATAGAATGGCATTGCAATTACATACTGTACATCACAGGGCGACATGACTGACCAGGAACCGGCACCCAAGGGTGAGCAATTAATGTTACGCAATATGCAAGACACAGACTGGCTTTCACAGTTCATACTTGTTGCATCACAGGAGTGAACAGTTATTACCTAGAAGCTTTCATAGTCCGATGGCTGTAAATCTGTTGCAAAGTGATAGTAGCTGTAAATAGAGTGTGTGAAAGTTTAGTTGTGACAGTAGAAATAGCTGTTTGACAAAAAACCTAACTCAGTGTCCACTAGAAAAAGACCATGAGATGCAGTTGAAAGCTTTGGAAAAAGCTAGTTAGGGGACATTTTTAGTCAAACTAAAGGAGTTCAGTTCTTTAAAAGACAACCACCTCAGGCTAAAAAGGATGGGGATTCTCTGCAGCAAAAGGTTAAAGGGGGTATCCTTGTAGGAAGTTTATTTCTCTCCAACCACCAAGGAAAACATTTTGAGTGATCACATTTGAGAGTTTGTGTCATGAATGAACTAATAATACCTTAGATTAAAAAATCTGATTTCTAATTCACAAGTTGTGAAAGTTTCTTTCCAACACAAAAAATATACCTTGCATATTCAAACTGATTTCCATCTGTTTACTTGTTTTTGACAAGTAAGGGAATGCACATAAATTATTTGGGAGCTATTTTCTCTTTTTGCCAGAGGGAGTGTGGCCGGAAATTTCTGGGAGAGCAAGGTAGGGTCTTTCTACAATCTATTAAACTTGATTTAATCATTTTCTTGCAGGATTTAATTTGGAATCAACTGATCAAAATAGGTGACGTCAAAAAGTCTTTTGTGGGCACTATGGATCATAAAGGTGCATTCTGCCTAGCTGCAAACACACTGAAACCATATGGCTATGGTTTTAAATGGCCCAAAAGTGATGCATCTCTTACGCTATTGGTATGCATTTAAAACAACAGGCGTACTTCAAAATATGCTTTCAGTGCGTTTTCCTTAATGCAGAAGACAACAATCCTATCTGAGTATCTGGGATTTATTTCACTAGTTGCTAGATTGACCACAATATACATTTTTGAAAACATTGGATCTTTAGCTTTAGCAGGCATTGCACATCATCTCTCTAAAGGGTGCACCATTTTCACTAGACAAGAGTCATCTTCACTTTATTCTACATTATAACAGAACTATATTAAAGCTGAAAGTATCATGTAGAGTTAACCTATAATAGAATGCATGTTCAACACAACCCAACCTGTTTTATTAATGGGTGAAGCAAAAATATTACAGAGCTGAAGCCCCACAGAGCTGCAACCTGTTCCTCATTCACTTATTTGGTGACAGTGGTTAGAACAACTAGCACAGTTACTGAATAAAATAATGTTCATTTAGCAGCTCTAGAGTGCCTTATTAACAGGACACACCATTTTTCATGTTGACCACAATTTTGGCAATTGCTAATTTGTCTGCTAATGTGTGGTTCGAGTTATGTAAAAATGATTGTCGCGTTAAGCTTAATATTAGGGTTGAGTAGAGAACTTAGACAGGAGGGTGTCCAAAGCAAATATTAAAAACCCAAAGGAGTGTTGTTGTTGTTGTTTTAAAGAAGCGAAAGCATAAGGTTTACCCACCTTGCTTTTCGCACAGTCCCTATATGAAGAGAAATATGGTATTTGTTTGTAAACTTAGTTATCCAGTGGGCTTTCACCAACTGTGGTAGATCCTTTCGTAACTACTACCAGATTGGTTTTCAAAATGGAATTCAATGATTTAAATGCAAATTATTCACCAGACAATTTGAGAATAAACTACCTTGACGTACTCTCGCTTTTTAATCCGTCTTTTCATGCATTGGCGCCAAGGCAACAGTAATTGTGTGCGGGATAATTGCTGAAGAAGCAGACTTGTCCATATATGTTCTTTGATTGCAGTCCATCTCCTGTAGGTTGGTAAGAGCCAGGGTATAGCAGTGTCAGTACAGTATAGTAATAGAGTGTAATATGGAGCTTGAACCTGTGTGACAGCATGCTAGATGGATCCTTTCAGTCTCTGGGCATGCTCAGTCTGTGCTTCCCTCGATAGTCTGCCTCACTTGCAATAAAGCTCCCATTCATAGCATCCCCTGATTACTGCAATTAACTCTAATTGGCATCTATGACAAGGAGATCCAAGCCCCTGAGATGTGCATGTACCATGCTCTTTTTTGCTCCATTCATATGTTGCATAACACATGTGAGTTACTGGGTCACCCTTGCTCCTCTGATATAAATAGTATCACATGGTTAATGCATTGGTGCCTTCCAGTCACTCCCTGTTTCTCTTGCTGTTCATATCTGTCAAACACCCCAATCGACTCTTAAGTAACAAATGAAATATCTTACTGTCGTATTTAGAGAGGTTTCAACACGTTTCAGCCTTTCTTCATTCAACATCACCATCAGTCTGTGACAAAAGTGAATATATGTTTTAGAAAAGGCGGTGACTTAATGAGAGTTCACTTAACGTTAATGTGTTGTGGGATTTTGTGAACTCCCTTTGATTAGAGAATGCAATCAAGGCTCTTGTGAAAAAGAAGAAGAAGAAGAAGTTAAGTTTCAATTACGGCAACTCTGAGGTGAAATGACAGCTCAAGTTCATGTTTGGTCAGTGTCACTGTGAGAGGGGTCTCCTTGACTGTGTTGAATCAAGACGGTACCACCGCTGTCTCATCTTGGTATGGAAAAGAAGACCAGGCGACCACCCTGGAGAGACAGAGATTGCAGTATTGCCCTGATTCATCTGAACTTGATGACCTGTGTCTTTACTGTATTAATGCAAACTGTCCTGGGCCCCCATCATGCTGCTTCCATGGCAAAGCCAAAGCGAAAAGACTGTCCCATTCCTTCATGTTATGTGCTCAAGATTATGGGTAAAAGTCAAACCAAAAAAATAACAAAAGCAAGACAGGATACCAAAGAGGAGGCCAAAACGTATGCAGCCTGGAGCATTCTTAGATCCACGGCTGTATTCAGTTCTCTTTGTCGCACACAGGTCAAACCCCTCCGAGACTGGGGGCTTAGTTGACCTCCTGACTCACGACCTAAGAATTAAGAATTATTTGGGCATCAATTTAAAAGCCTCATAAATTCATAGTCAACTTAAAACCTATGATCTGTAAGCATTGTGCCAGGTTCTGTAAATAGGAGTTTAATAGCAGGTGAATCAGCTTTAATCTGTATATAATAGAATCTGCATGTCATGACAATGACAATCTGCATATTCCGTAACAATTAATAGCTCTGCTTCATGATTATCCACTGTTCACCATTGTGTCTAACACTGTGATCACACTGGCAGGTCAAAGCAGCACTGTGAGCTCGCCTCCCTTCTGTGTAACAGTGCACTTGACAGGCTCTGAGAAAATGAAGGTTTGACTTCAATGTACATCACGCCATTCACTGACCGCAGAGATGAGATTGGAGGCTTTGAAAGCGCACGGCACACGGCTCTGAAGCACTACCTCGAAGCAGCCTACCAGGCAATTGTTGCTATGCTACCGTAGAAAGCCCAATCAAAGTGCAGCGTGTTGCTCGTTGAGGCTGAACTGCACCACAATGTTCCAAATACTTGTGAGGAGCGCTGTTTACACTTGAACCATAGATGGCACACAAGAAAGAAGGAAAATGCGGGCTAATGCTTCCGCTTTGTCCACCTATAGGTTACAGCAGGAAAACAACAATCATGTTAACAAGGCAGAATGATGCATCACATAAATAATTTCCACTATTGATGATTATACTGGATGTGGTGTGGTATATATACAACAGGATGGCAGATGTAAGTGATTTATGACCGGCATGAATGACATCCATTCATGGTTATTAAACATGGTCATAAAAAATGAAAGATATTCAGCTTCAACATTTACTACTTGGTTTTATGCTTGATTGTTCAATTCTGATGTTAGATTGCTCACAGCAATGTACTGATGCTCCGGCATAATTGGAAATTAATG